TCTGATTTGCGTCCAGATCTTCTTTGTCGAATGCCGCGTCAAGAGGCGAAAGATATCTTTGATCAAGTCTCTACTGCTGGTAAGAGTCGGCGTCCTGAAAAGTATTCCCGAAATTCACTGCGTTCAGCATGGTCCATTGACGCCGACTTGATGATTGAAATCATGGGGAGCTACCGCCGGTGAGTACAAAAGATAGGGGTATGGTGGTAAACTCACAAGTTTGTAGTGGAAAGGAAACATGTGGCGACATTGATATTCTCATCACCCGAGATGTGGCTGATGGCAAAGATCATTCGGGTACGGTTTACATAAGCACCCTTTGAATACCAACTCATCGCAAGCCAGGTTTATTACCTTGTCTCCTCGACAAACTCCACAAGTCCGGCCTCCTCATAGCTGACAACTGAGGACCTAAAAGATGCCGGTGAGACTCAATGATAGCGATAAAGGCACCAGATTACCCACCCACGCCATATATTCCCTGAAAATCCATCACTACGGCGGTCTCCCCAGTTCGCTCGTAGTTCAACCGTTTGAGGCCTTGCGTCTTGATAACTTCCATGATCTATAAATATCTAAGCATGTCTCAGGAGTACGGGTCGGACACTAGATACCTTCTCCGCTGTCTTGGCCCCTATCCCGGGGATGGCCACGAGCTCTTGCATGCTCTCGAATCGCGTCGGGTGTTTCCGTATGCGGCCAATGGCTAACGAATAGGTGAGGTTCGATATGGAACTTGTTGAGCTATGTACTGACCTTTCATCAACGCAAATGCTTTCCATTTGGACTCCTCGTCCACTCGCCCCTTGTGTATCGCCATCAGTTCCTCTAACTAGAGGGGCGTCAAAACTGTTGGTATAGCCGGTGGGACTGCATACCTTCTCTACGACGTCTTGATTAGGACAATCCTTGCGTGGGCCGTCTGGCACTTGCATGCATTGGAAAGCCTCATACTGAATTCCCTGGTATTCTGATCAGCTTCTCTGTTTTCTATAAAATGTGTAACGCACCGGTTCCTCTTCGACTTCCTGTTTGGAAGTAGCATTTAACATTAGCTCATCGCATGCAGTATGACTCCTTACCTCATCACTGCCTATCTCTATAGCAGCTCGTGGAGGCGAAACAGGTGCTATGGCTGTTTTGGATACAGTACCCCTTATAGCGCCAGAAGGTCCGACTGGGATGAGCCCTCCGTACCGAGTCTTCAGACCACCCTCCGGCTTATGGCGCTTCTGGGGGTATTGATATCTAAAAACACTCAGTCGCCTATCAGTTCACAAGTTGATGACGTACCGCGCCTTTTCTTCGTCTTCAGAATCCAAGATAGGGGTCATCTCGCGCCTCTTTCGCTTCGGCACGACCGCGACCGACGAAACCGAGCCATCTCCTCCCCCTTGTATATCCCGCATCCACCTGTCGTGGTGAATATACCTGTCCATGGTCGGTTCTACCAACCCTCTGCGCGCCTCGCAGTCAGACACCCATGGCCACTTGACAATCTTGATGCGCAAGGGGATGGTGTGGATCGGAATCCCAATATTTTCGTTTATCAGTTTCACTGTTTCCCAGGATGCTCCCGCGGAGACGATATGCGTGACACGGTCGGCGTCGTACGCTGTTACTAGCTCGGCACCATGCTTATAGAGCTGGAATAGGTGAGAAATGTTACGACATAAGCACTAAGTATTGACACTTACTCTGTCCAGCTTGTCTCGTACAGCCGCTCGCTTCTCCCACATTCGCTCCGCAAAGAGGATCACGGCACCTGAAAGGAACTGGGAGTACTCCTTCTCTCGGTTCGGCCATTTGTCAGGCAAGGTCTCAATGTATTCCTTGTGAGACATTTTCTTCTCTCTTTCTGCTCGCTCTTTGAGGAGTGCTTGCATAGCCTTTTTCGTCATCTTTTTCTCTTTCGGAGGCACTTCTGGACCTTTGCCTTTAGACGTGCTCTTGGATGTAGTGGCCTGAGGCTTCTTCGTATCACGAGTCTGCTGCGATTTGGAGGTGACTTTTGCGACGGCGACCGGTTTGGTCGGTGGGGGAGACGATGACGCCTGGGCAGCGTTCCTTGAAAGAGCACCCACATCGACCATATGATTCTTAGGAATATTCTCTGGAACTATGGTGCCTTAGGAGCGTAATAGAGGAACAGGTTCAATAACACTCACCAGTACTCTCGAGTGATGACCGAATCCCCTTGTCATGACCTTTCGGGTCATCGAGAC